GTAATAACTGTTTCCTACGACTTTTCGTTTTCGAGCTAGTATTCACATATACACAGATCATTTTTCGGTATTTGCTTATTTGGACTCAGGGTACCTCAAAACGTATAATTTCCGTTGAAAACTCAGATTCGAAAATTTTCACGATCGCAATACTTACCCTTACTAAATATTACATATATAGGTAACTGAAAGTAAAAAACAATACTGTAGGAGTATTACAAACTTTAAAAACCTAAAATTGTTTAAATACTTTTCCAGAACATTTTTTTAGTAATAAATATTGTTTATTCAATAATGTAAAGATCCAATCGATTAACAATATTAACTGTATTAAAATTTATAATAGATAATCATATGATACTTTTAAAATATTTTAGCTAACACAAAAAATTATTCGGGGAACTGCATATGACGTTTTCAGTTGTGGTAAGCATCTCGTTGATTTGATGTATATGATTTTAAAATAGTCCAAATAATTTATCAAATAAATGTAGATATTTTATGATTAGTGCTTTAACGTGTTCCGAAATAATCAACCAAATGATTATAAATTAATTAAGAGCTTGAACATTAATTAATTTTGAAAAAAAATGTTCATAATTATTTAAAACTTGTAATTATCAATGAACCGTCAACACCATAAGTGCAAGAATTGTCGATTTTATCATGCTTATCCGAAGGCAAAAAGGAAATTTTAATCTCTAGGTCATTCAAAATACAACCATAAATTTAATATTCGGATACAAATTCTCATGCCGATTTGATTTTCCCATTTATCAAAATTAATAAGTCCGTGGCGAACGAGATGGGACAGAAATCTGAGAGGGGAACATAGCCGGTTCAATACTGCTCAGCCTTAATGAATTTATTTCGTGACATACGTATGAAATAAAACTTGATCTCCACACTTCAAGCAGAATAAGTTGCGAATTTTCAGGATAAATCACCTTTTCCAGTCCATTTTAACAACGACAATATATCGACATACACACTGCAAAAGTCTGTAAGGATAATTTTTTTGGAAACGAGGTTTTGAACTTTTCTGGTTCAAAACAGAAAAAAAAACAAGAAGAAAAAAAATAATTTATAAAGAAAATTAAAGCCTCATTACATAATAAATACTTAGCCAGCGTCTGATTGAATTGTGAAGAGGAATTGGAATAAAAGGGTTTTAAATGTGGATAAGGATGGTCATAGCGGATTTTTAGTGGGATGGAATTACAAAATGTTGTGGGACATACAACAAAGGAATGTTTAAATGAGGCAGATCTGTGGAAAGGGGTATAAAGGTCAGAATGAAGAGATCTTTTGAAGAGAGTGTGGATAGATGACTTGAATTGTAGGAGATTGTATGCGTAACACGGACGATAATTATTGATTATTTGGTAAAGGAATGCGGCTAGGAAATACTGTCTTCGGAAAGAGGGGGAGAGCCATCTTAACTCAGCATAGTGGTGCGATACACGGTAACGTCTCAGGGTCTCGGTGACAAATCTTACGAAGGCATTCATAATTCATTTCAGTCTATCCTCGAGTTCAACCGAGAGGTCACCATATACCACGCAGCCGCAACGAAGCTGAGGGAAGATACTAGGAGTCTACGTGTGGGAATGGGTAGGAGATGGCGGAAGCGATAGAATAGTTTCAAGGTACCAATTGACCGTCGGAAGATGTGTGCAATATGGTGATTCCAGGAGAGGTTTTGGTCTATGAAAATGTCTAGATTTTTTACTGAAGGTGATGGGATGGTCATTAAGGTACAGGATAGGAATGCTGGTATTCTGAGAAGAGCTTTGGAACCAATGACAATGGCTTGAGTTTTGGCAGCGTTTAATCTTAATCCATTTAAGTTTGCTCAGGCGCAGATCTGATTCAAGTCCTCTTGAATTTTGGCAAACGCATCATGCAACTCTGAGGGAATGAAGGAAAGATAAATTTGGGAATCGTCGGCTTTAAAAATAATTATATTTTCGTAGTTTTCATTGCATTAATCTAATTCTCTGTATGTCGACTCAATTCTTCTTATCAGGAGGAAATTTTGTTCCGGCGATGGATGCCAAGGTATCCAGTGCAAGTTAACTTGGTTCCGTCTTCATTAATTTAGATTATCTCTTGGAAAAATGAAGTTACAACTGCAAGTTCATCTTTTTCTTATCAGGATCTTGTTACCTAGGTAGAAGAGGGAGCTTTTGAGAGCAGTATTGAATGCTCAAATTTCTCATCAGGATCTTGTTGCCTAGGTAGAAGAGGGAGCTTTTGAGAGCAGTATTGAATGCTCAAATTTCTCATCAGGATCTTGTTGCCTAGGTAGAAGAGGGAGCTTTTGAGAGCAGTCTTGAACGCTCAAATTTCTCATCAGGATCTTGTTGCCTAGGCAGAAGAGGGAGCTTTTGAGAGCAGTATTGAACGCTCAAATTTCTCATCAGATTCAGAGTCTAAACTAACAATTTGTGGAATGCTCCAGTTCATCATTTTAGACATTATTTTCTTTTGAGAAGATTTTTAGCGTTAGTTTATTATATGTCCAGATATTCTATCAGTTATCTGTATTTACATCTCCGCAATTCTTGAAATCGAGTTCCAACTTTAATCCTGGGATCAGAATTGGAGATAACTTTTTTATTGAAGGCTTAAAGTTAAAGGCGTCACATTAAAATTACAGGATCCCATCAAGGTTCAATCTAACTCTAGCTTGTGACTTTCTCCTAAATAGCGAATGATAAAAGTGTTCTTCATATAATTGTTCATGTTCTTAAATGGTGAACTTCGAATGTAATACCTTTAGAACTTTTGATGAATAATAGCTCTGGTTGTTATTTAGTTTTCATCAATTAATCTCACCCTAAAAGTTGATATTGATTTGTCAGAAAAATGTTTCTAAATTTATTTGACATTGAGCAGGATAAACAATATTTTTTTTTTTAAATTTCACAGGCGATGTATTTTACTTATGTCGTATACAGTAAACTCACGTGCCTAACTTAAAAAAAAACCGATGCAATTTACTTCTCCAAATTTTGATTCATGGAAACTTATAACCTTTTTTGTCGTACAGAGTTCGAAAGATTTGTACCACAAAATGTACAGACGCCCTTCTGGGTGTTTTTAAATCCTGTAGTAATAGTACAAGTTGATTTTTTTTTCCCTCGTATTTCTAGCCTTTTAGGCTATATGGGGTTTTTCAGGACTAGGAGGCGAGGGCGGAGGATTAATACTAGAGTTAAAAGTTCTCCCCTCCTCAGCACCGGGAGGCGAACTCGTAATTATTTTATCATATTGTCTTTCATCAGGTTGCCTGTGAACACGTGTTATTCTGCTCGACCACCCCGAATGACAAATCATTCTTCATTTTAGGAACATTGTTTTTCCTAAATTTTTCAGGGTGAAGAACTGACAGCAGATGATATTCACCTTCTACTCACTGACTCTTCCTAAACAGATTATTCAGGTGCTTGACTGTTATTTTCCTTAAGGGAATAAAACTTTCTGTCTATTCTTCAGCAGACCTGAAACCTTTATACGTCGTCACCATTTAAAAGTTTTTTCTAAAATGTTCTAAAGCAGTAACATTAACAGAGATAATTTCAGAAATAAAATTTTAGTTTATCAAGTTTTTCTTCAACTTCCTTCTCCTTTTTAAAACGTACACAAACATCAAATCCAACCATACTTGTAATTATTGTTTTGTCGAACTCATTTTCAAGACCAGCTTATTCAAATTAAGATCAACTGTTGCTGTACCGAAAGAAAAAAAGTCGACCCCTCATGTGGGTTGATAATGTGGTTGTGTCTTGTGATGGTCACCATCTCTTCTTTTCTTAAACTCTTTGACAACTCCTGTGAACAATTTCTTGACTGATGCTAAAATCATTTAAGATTTTCTTGGCTTGCTTCGATAATTTCTGATATTAAAAACTGAATTATATATTTCCCCACAAGGGATGCCAAATGTTCTAAATATTTTTCAAGTCCGACAATGGATTTAAACTCAAGAAAACTTTATTTAAAAGAAAACTTTATACTTGAAAAATAAAAATGAACAGATTTTTAACGAAACAAAGGGAATTACTAAATTTTCTACCAACCCAACAAATTAAAAACTATCTCTTTTGAAATAGATGTTTATACAAAAAAGTCATAATAGAAACCTAAAATATTATATGAAACAAATGGAGAGATGGAATAATTACCTTAGAAAAAACACTAGTTCTAAAAAAAAATCACTTAAAACATGGAACGAAGACTGTAGCTCACCCAGAAGATTCAAAGAGTTCGAACTCGCAACATACACCTATCGAGAAATAATAAATAGAGAAAAGAATAATCGATTAGACGGGTATTTAAATTTAAATGCCCGCTTGCCCAAGGTCAATAAAACTACCAGGCTTGCTCACTCAGAAATGCGTGGTGGGGGAACTTGAAACGTGACGTAAGGAATAGACTGTCAGACCTACCTATTACTCTTTCAAGCCTATCAATGAGGGCTTATTTCAACATTATTGTGCTTTTTTTTCTGGTTTAATTTATTGAGAAGAATACTTTTCTGTGTTTTTGACGTTTGATTGAAGATAATTTCAAGTAGATAAATTAATAAATACGGCTATCAATCTAGAATAAAATGCCATGAAAATTACAGGCCAGGCCTTTAATGAAAAGAACGAAATTGATATTAAGATTATTTATAAATTATTTTTTTCAAAATCTCTGAAAATAATATATAAATAGAAAAAAACTAAGATTTATATTTATTTAGAGAACATTTTAGCACAATGGTAGTGTAAGAGATGTACAAAATACTTGCATAATTTTGTTTGTAGATCTCGTGGGTTTTTCTTTTAATATTATAACGATATTATAATAATATTATAAGGGTGAAGATCTTTGTCAGGATTTGTAGTCCAAGTTTTACTGACCTTGCTGCAAGCCAAGTGAGTTAGCTCCTTGAACTGATCAGGTGTTGACAAATTGAATTATTTTAAAATTTATTTAATATTTAAATAAATTATTAAAATATTTATTAAACCAAGTAACTTTCTGGGTCATTTTAAAGTATAAATTGTCTTAATAATATTAAAAACGCAATTTGTATGGCATTGAAAATATTTCGATTTAAAACCGGGAGATATCAAGGCACCAGTAAGATTAGGAAAATCGTTTTATTCGTTCAGTGCACGGTTCACGCAGTGATGGTGGGGTTGGGTCAGTTGTGAAGTTCATTAATTTACAAGTACTCTGAACATATTGTAGCAGAAGTCTAAAATTGACAAGTTTATCTCTGTTTGGCATTAAATAATATTTGTGAGTACAATTATCATTCGATAATTAATTCTAACATTTTAAATTGTTCAATTTTATATCAGTTTTTAAGTCTTATTTTACTAGATAACATTTATTTTTTAAATATTTATTCGTTAATAAACAGAATTATAGTTATAAATAGTTTTTCATTTGCCTTTACTTTCTGTTAAAAAAAAAAAAAAAATTATCTGAAGTTTCATTAGATTTTATTTCTGATTAATTAGACTTGTTAAAAAGAATAATTACATTTATTTTAATAATTTAAGTCTTAAAAATAGGTTTGGCACTCAGTAGTTTAGTGGTTCTATTCTAAAATCTATTTTTAGTCTGGTCATTTGTAGGTCAGTATTTTAAGTTTTTTAAATATGAAATTCAATTATTTATGAACACCTAATCTTTACTCGTATAATGAATTTATTTAATAAATTTAAAAGCCAAATCATCTGGGTATCACTACATTAATTCTTATCACAATTATTTGATTTTTTTCTCTATTTCAATCTATTACATACCCAATGAATTGTTATGAAGTCCATGACTTAAAGTATATCATTATTTTTACAAGACATGTAGAGAAGTATTACTTATCACAGTATCTGATATTTCCGTGGCAGGAATCGTTCTGATAATATATAAGTTTCATTTTAATGCCTTGATGTGGATTTAAAAATAAAATAAAAATAAGAAAACTTTTTTATCTTATCTAAAATAGTAGTTGGTGCTTAAGAGACCTGAAATTATTTCAAACAATGGTTTTAAATTAACTAGTGCTTTTAATTTCATGTGTAATTAATACCAACTGATAAACCCTTCGAGAAGAAACTTCTAAATGTAAGATTACCAGATGTTTGAATATAGAAGGATATTGTCACCTTTTCATCAGGTTACCCATACCCTCCTTTCCTTTGAAAAATAAAATAAAAATACAGTGATAAGCTGGCATCTTGTTTTATGAGACTAGACAAGAAAAATCTTTTCGGATTTTGATTTTTAAATAAATAAAATTCCTTATAATAAATACAAAATACTTGCATGGTTTTGCATATTCGATCAGTCATGTTTCTTATTGTAAGCATTATTTTATTTAACTGCTGAGAATTATATATACTATTAAAAAAATATTAAAGTATTTAGTGACAGAAATTGCCTGTTTACCATTGGGTATCACACACACTTGAGTTGGTTTCTTTTTCTTGACTGCAAATTGTAACTTTGATTAACATTTTAAAACTTACTTAATGTTATGCAAATTCAGAGAAGTCAATTTCCTTCCTCTTAGTGAAATTTTTTCTCATTCTTTTGAACTATTAAAAAATTCACACATCAAATATATTATAGAAAAATTTGCTTGCACAATCACGTAAAAAATGTTTTGTAATATTAAGTGTAAATAATTTATTTTACTTAAAATTATTTACTCAAAGTTAAGAACTTTTATTATAGGTGCATTCAATGAAATATACTTATATTTAATTTTTTTAAATACATTTTTTATGTGATTTCATTCAAATATCAGAGAATTCTTAAGAGACAGTGGGATGACCAGGGACTTTATTGGAATTTATGTATTTTTTATGTTATCCCCATAAATGTCTCTCCACCTATTATATAAATGAATGCCATTAAAGTATTAAATGTGTGGATTGTGGACCATATGATAATTCATGGAGATTGTCCTGGAGTCAGTCAACAAAGAACATCAAATAATCAGTATTTCATTTGATGTCATCGTTCTGATCCAGGTTGTCAGAGCTGAATAGATACAAGAACCAGCCAGATAGGCTGTTCAATAAGTAGTTTATAATAATCCTCTTAGCAGTTCCTATGATAGTTGCTAAAATATAGTCCCGAAATGTTACCCCATTTTAAAAAAAAAATGTATTTTTTGAAAGACTCTTTCTCTGGAAGTATTGAATGTAAAGACCTCTTAATAATAATAACAATAATAATATCAGCTTTGTTACACATTCTTAGTAGAACATGAAGCCTCTCAAATGGAGGTAAGATTCTGGTTTCAACAAAAAATATAAATTACAGATTTCTTCCTTCTTTCATTTCTTCCTGGGGGCCGCACATTAAAAAAAACGTCTTACCTTAAATAATCAACTAAAGCTTTTGTATTCTCTCTTACACAAGCGATCCAATTTAAAAATGAGACAAAAACTAAATGCTTACACTTACTTACTAAAACCCACATGGACTTATGCATCACAAATCTATGGGATAGTAAAAAAGACCTAAATTAAAAAAATACAGACTTTCGAATCAAAATCTTTAAGACTCATCACGCGCTCAACCTGGTACGTCAGTCACAAAACATTACATACAGACTTAAACATACCTATGGTACAAGCTCACATCATAAAAAAAATTCCATGCCAAACTTCATGAACATACCAGCATACTTATACAAAGATTTTAATTTTTTCTAATTATGAACTCTGGGTACAAGTTGTTATCTTGATTCCTTCTAGAATTTTTTAAGCTCACTGAATAGATACTTGAATAAACTGGTCTTGATTAGAAGCCATAGTCTAAAGACAGTTTCGAGACACAGTCTATAGACCATCTAGAGACACTGTTCTTTGTCTCTTCTAGCGTCCCCACTACGATGTGGATTTTTCAGTCTCATCTTCACTGTTCACCACAGAGGACATTGTTTTGTGTGGAATATGTTCCTGCTTATTGCTAATTACAAGTGAAAGAATGCGAAAATGTAGACGTTAGTGGACGTGAGAAGTTTTTACAGAAGGACCTAAGTACGGGAATGCATAATTAAATTAATTAATTTGGCTAGAATTTCACCTAGCTGACATCAACTTTTTTTTGAAGATTTGCTTTTAATGGTAAGAGATAAACAACCAAACGAACTATTCTCGCCATATCTCGCCTCTAGAGACAGAGAGATGTCCACACTATCAAAATGTTGCACAATAATGTCTCCCATTCCAATCGGAAGACCTCAGACCTGCAATTTTTGGTCTTGCAACAGGCCCTTAGATGGCCTCTATTTGTCTATAGACATGTCTAACTTGACAAACTGAGACATGTCTCAGAGACAAAAATGGTGTAACATGTCTACTAGTGTGGACTAGGCTTAAAATTAAGTTCATGAAGCATTTTGTAAGCTAATTACGACATTTATATTAAATAATAATATTAAAAGACAACTATTATACTGCAGTGAGAACTCTTATGTTCTTCTCCTTAATGCGTTCAATGTAATAAGTGACAGTAGCAAAACATGTTTGTTAATATTTACCATAGATGAGGAACCGCGGCCTCCAAACGTTCTTGCTTGCTATTTATTAATTTACTTCTAGAATTAATTAATATTCAACTATTTAAGTAACGACAATTTGGAAATTAGTAGAATTTAGTTGAATTATGTATGTGGGTGTGTGTATTTAGTGATTAATAAAAAAGCAACAGTAAAATATACAGAATTGTTGCAGCCTCCATTAGCACTGCCTAATCTTATTGCGGGCTCTAATGATAAAAAGATTCCTATGGTATATTCCATAGTTGGGGAACTGTGGCCTTGGAGGTCACATATGGTCCCTATGATGTAATTGCGCCCTCAGAACGTTTTTTCATGATATCTATTAATCCAGTTCTAGTATTAATTAATATTTTATTATTTGAGTAACGACAATTATAAATTAATAGAATTAAGTTGAATGTATGTACGTGGATGTGTGTACTTAGTGATAAATAAAAATAGTAACGGTAAAATATAAAGAATTGTTGCGGCCTATAATGATAAAAAGGGTATAAGCCATCTATGGTATATACAATATGGGGATAGTCTATTCAACACACATAATTGGTGAAGCTTCATACTTTACCGCGACTGTTAAAGTAACAATTTACTAAATAAGTAATGAGCTTGTCTTATTGGAAAGTATCACTCCAGTTTAATAATTACGCAAGAAGAGGCAGCTATCCTTGAACTTATACTAAGAAAATGTATACCTAAATTTTTTTTCTTTTAATTTGTAAAAAATATCAAAAAGTTTCTTTCAATATTCTTTGAAGAATCCAAAGAATTATGTTTTATCTCATAGATTTATCTACTTCTCCATTTACTGTTTCAATATACTTTTAGTTTTTCGAAGACTTTTACAAATAGTGATATTTTAATTTTTAAAACCTAAACAAATAATGTAAACCATAGCACTTAAAAGTAAGAGGCTTTCAAACGCGGGGTCCATTATAGTTCCAATGGTCTTGGTGTCATCATCATAATCTTTAAAACACAATTTTAATTCTTGATCTTTTGAAACCTCCTAATTTTTTTAATGACTTTTATTAAAGTTGTAGGCATTTAGGAATTGAAATTGAAATTTGTCACTTCTCCATGAAATATTATTTTGTTTGATGCATACAAATTCATCACTCCTGAGAATCTGAAATGGGATCTATTATATATTATTATTATTATTAGATGATGGCGTTATGGTCCACTTATTGAGTCAATGCTTGCCCTATCATAGATCGCCATTCCTCTCTGTTTTCTGTCGCTACCTTCCAGTTCTAAGCACCAAGCAGCAGGGACCTTGCGTTGTTAGCCCCCCTTTCCTCCCAGCGAAGCTTAGAACGCCCAACTCTTCTTGTGTCAGATACACACTCTGAAAAGGTTTTATATGGAATTTCATTTGGTTCCATGGCCTGCCCAATGAAGCCTTGATAACTTAATTAAGGTGCATACCTTAAGATCACCATATAGAGCTCTTAATTTGGCTTATATTGTATATAGTACACTATGTTATATATATTAAAGATTTTTCCAAGCAGACTCTTGATCAGGCAAACTATGCTTCCTCTTTGTAAGACTTTAATCCGAATTTGACTTTGAAGAATTTAACTTATGCCTGACAGATACAGAACATTTCTATAATTGATGGAAAGGACCTAATAATTTTTTAATGTAAAATTTTTGTGGTGTATTATTGATCCATCGAGATTTGCCGAGGGATGGAGGATTATGATGAACTGCGAGCTGTACCAAATATGCAAGGAGGCTAACATGGTCAGATTCAATAAGCTTGGGGCTGGTCACGTGATGAGTGAAGAAGAAATCCCGAGGGAAGTATCTGAAGAGACTCTTTATTGGACCCAGAGGGATGGAAAACAAATGTTGAGGTGGGCTGATGGAGTGGCAGGGGATGCAAGAAACCTTGGGATCATCAACTGGAAGGCGCCAGCACAAGACAGAGCTAATGACGGAGGCTTATCGAGTAAGCCAAGACACCACGGATATATATCTATATATATTAAAAAATGTATGCATTAAAAAATTACCTATTTAAAAATATCAGTTGGTTAAATGTAACGTGTGCACAGGACTGCTGTTGCCCGACAATCAGATAAACAGATATTTATATCTATGAAATAATTGCAAGTTCGCATCTCAGTTAGTGGAAGGGATTTTAACTCTGGTATTAATATCCCGCCCTCTCTCCTGGCTCATTAAAATCCCCATGAAAAAATAATAGCTTAAAAAAGGCGAGATAGGGATGGATAAAAAAAAAGTTAAAGGTTAGCAGAATCTAATAGGTACTTATATAGAAAAAAAAATTGCCCAGTTTGTCAATAAAAAACGTATTTAAGATTGATGACCTTTTTTAAATAATATATAATATAATATAATATAATTTATAAAATTTATTTATTTATTTGTTTATATAATTATTTTAAATTATTATTATTTGTATATATATAAATATTATAAAGTTTATAGTTTTAGTATGAAATTTATTCTATTAAATAAAACAGCAGAGTGAAATAAGTTTTCTCTAAATAGTTTAATTAATTTTTTTTTTTATTAATAAAAAGCCTCTTTCTGTTGTCATTTTTTTTTTTTTTTATATGATTGTCAGATATTATTCACTTGATCAGGTGTACCTGATCATGATTTCATTGTGTATATGAAATAGGCAAATATTATTCAAATTTAATGCAGGCGAAACAATCGGAAGGACATATTATATATTATATTTTAATAAGTTGTTTACTGATTGTCAGTAAAAAATTTTTTGTTGGAGTATATATATATTTTAATAAATTGAATTGATGATTATATACAGAAAAAATGCATCGAGCTCGTCAGGTTGTTAATGGATTAGTTCCATTCCTCCCACGAGCTGCGGGACACAAGAGGTTCGCAGTATGGCTTCGCCAGAGCTCCACTACCAGCAGCTCGAATACTAATCAACCAGCTGGACCCAGGCAATATGCCACCGCCTCCGCGGTGAAAGAAGAACCCTTCCTCAATGGCTCCTCGTCCAACTACATCGAGGACATGTACGCTGCATGGCAGCGGGACCCCACCAGCGTTCACGCAGTGAGTAACAACATTATCAACTTTTGCATTTATCAAGTTAAATATTAGGAAAAATTACAAAATTAATAATCTATTATTATTATCTGCCGGGTATGTATCAATAATTTATTAATGGTGGAAGTTCATAAAGTATTCTACTTATCACGTTAGGTAATCAGGCCTCGGTCAATTTTTTTTAGTGTTTTTATTATTGCCTACGTTTCAACCCAAACTTGTGGGTCATCATCAGACAATGTTTTCAGTTCCATTGGTGTTCAATTGCTGTTCATCTTTTGTGTTAACTGAGTAATATTTGAACATATCTTGTGCTACTTGTCATGCTCCAATGACTGAGGGTGATGAACCGAAAAATTTCTAAAAATTGACTGAGTCCTATAATGATTTATCACCCATGTTATGTTATTAGAATAAATTGCCGTAACTCTCTCAATAATAAATATTAAAACATAGGTTTGATTATCGTTACAAAAAAATCATTTTATATTAATAAAAATAGTTTTATGAGGAGTTGGAGGGGGGGGGGAGAGGGGTTGCGGTCAAATGAATTCTATATATCAAAATAGTATTTTATTGTTTACGCCGACTTTTCAAGGCCCACTTTGTAGGTCTTCATCAGGGCTACAATAGATACAAAAAATAAAAGGTACAGGAAAGAAGGTAGAAGAAAGAAAGAAAAAAAAAGAATTATTAGTGATATTAAATAAGAAACACTTGTCTGATAAAGAAATAATAAGATGACCTCAGAGATATAGGGTGACAGTGTAGTTAAAATAATACAATATATAAAACTAGTAGGCCCGTGTGAAAAATTCGCACAGTATATTGTTCAGTGATAAAATGACAAATTGATAAGAAAATAAAATAATGCAGCGTATCATAAGATGGAGAAATCAATTGTTACTTTCTCGATAAATACAATCGACAAAAGAAATAAAATTTTTCATTAATGTTTACAACCAATAAGCTGTATTTTCGCTAATAATTGTCCTATTTCAAAGATTTTTTTTCCTTTTGTACGGAATTAATTAATATTTTATACAGTCATGGACATAACCAAGGGAAAAGTGTGTAATTTTTTAGTTATTCGCAAATAAAGCTTCTTTTCTTTCATAACTTGTTTGCCTGAATTTTCGGGGTGATTGGACTATTTTGCTTGCCTGAAGGAGAAGGAAGCTTTCGAAATTGGTGGCTCAATCTTGAGATTTAGTGAAGAATTAACGATGATATGGCTTGCCGATCATAAATAATATAAACTCCTCCTGTCTCGATCATAGAGACCTCAAGTCGACGAAATGAGACATGTATCCAATGACAGTACTACAATTAACATCTGGTTATGTGGATGCGAACCCCATGCTTTGCGTTATCTCGAAAGTAGTACGTTTTTGTGCTTAAAAACGCAGGATCCGCTCTACGCATCAAAATCTTCAAGGTCAAATTTGTCCCGCATCGATCTATATACCTACCACCGTTCCAGTATTGAAGCCTAAAAAAATATTTGTATCGACTTTATTTATTTTAGAAAGAAAAACAAAAGTGGAGAATACGATTCACTAACCCCCCATGAAATTTTGAATCCAACGGTACCCCATTCATGGTATTTGAGCATGACAGGAGCTTATATTTGGTACAAAACCGATTTCGAGCCTTACTGTAATAATATATGTGGGGATATAATACAATAAATAAATAAATATAATACAATAAATAAAATAATACAAAGTGGGTAATTAAACAATAAAATAGTATTTTGATGTATAGTATTCATTTGATCACATCCTCCGACCAACTCCTCATATTATCATCACAGTCAACCATCTCTACACTATAAAAAATAGTTTTAGGCGAAACCGGGGTTGGTTGGCATTACTTTTTTATATGTTATTTTGTTCTTAACAGTTATAAATTACATAGCAGTATTTCACAAACCTGCAACATTTTCTAATATAGAACAGTTTTGCAAATAATTATAGATTTCTAAAAATTTATCTTGTCAACAAGCTTCAGAATGAGTTTTCTGGTAACTAGGAGGAAGAAGGCTGGCATAGATTTTAAAATGAAAAAAAAAAAATGTGTTTATTTAAAATGAAATCAAGTTTAATAGTATATACTCTTACCAGAATGTTAAGTGTAAAAATGATCAAAAGTTTTTTAGTTAAAAAAAAATTTAATATCATAGAATTATTCAAGTCTTTTTAGTTTAGTTTTTAGTATTAGTTAGAACTTATTATTTTATGGCACTATAATAGAAATTATAGCACCTAATACAAATAAACAAAAATGTATGCATTAAAAAATTACCTATTTAAAAATATCAGTTGGTTAAATGTAACATGTGTGCACAGGAACGCTGTTGCCCGACAATTAGATAAACAGATACTAATATGAAAAAATAATTACAAGTTCGCATCTCGGTGCTGGAAGGGATTTTAACTCTGGTATTAATCTCACGCCCTCTCTCCTGGCTGATTAAAATCCCCATGAAAAAATAATAGCTTAAAAAAAGATAGGGATGGATAAAAAAAAAAATTTAAAAGTTAGCAGAATCTAATTAGGTATTTAAATATAAAAAAAATTGCCCAATTCGTCAATAAAAAATGTATTTAAAATTGATATGACCTTTTTTAAATAATAATAAAAAAAAAAGATTCTCCTGTAGCAAAAAACATGAAATAACTGTGCGTCTGGGAACTATGGTGGGACTGAAAGATGAGTCAACCTTAGGGCCTTATTTTGTTTGTTTAAAAAAAAAGCTAATAAAGTAAATTTTAAACTAAATATTTTTATTTCGAGACAAAAAGGCGGAAGAAAACATGGAAAGATATTTCATGAAAACACTAGTATAAGCTAATAATCATAAGATATCCGAACACTATGAGATAGGCCTGACTGTCTTTGACATAGCTCCGTCTGTACCGATTTTCTTTAATGCTGATTATCATAACAGATATGCATCAGAAAAAAATCAGAACTATTATAGCCTAATCTTCATCGACAAATTATAATAGAAAATTTATGCATGTACCAAATTAAAAAAATTATTAATAGATTTCCTCTAACAATTTAATTTGGATATGTCAATATTAACTGGAAATCGTGTGGAGGAGGCTTTGGTGTCAACCTACCGTTCTCCAAAGACATTGCTGCAGTTTGTTATTGAAGGCATACATTTAAAAAATGTAACTGAAGTAGAAGAGATGGGAATTCGATTCAATCATTGTGGTGGGTCGATTCTTATGAACGATTCTTCCATTGATTTTCTTTTTATTAAAAAAAGAACTTTTTATTTAAAAAGAAATATGGTTATTCAGTCAAAAACATTTTTTTTTTAATGGATTGAAATTAAGTCCTGGTTCAAATGTATACAAATAAAAAGTTATAAATCATATAAGTAGAAAGAAAATTTAAATTTTAATTAATTAAGTTTTAATTATTTTACATATTACATTTTGTTCTGAGTATGTAAATTGTCATTTATAAAATAATAAGTAATTAACAATAAAAGTACAAGAGAGAAAAAATATACAAAATAGTAATGTAAATAAGCATGGTTAATAAATGTCCAAAGTGTGAAATGGTCATGGTAGAATAGATTCTGAAACTCAACAAAACAATCCAGCATATAATGGAACAGGACTGGAAGATTTCATAGAACATATCCACTGAGCCATCGGTGAAGAACTAAGCTTTATAGCAGCGTCGTCGAGAATGAACTCATGGACTCGAAACCTCACTCCCACTAATTCAAATTGAAAATCACTGATTCCGAGTAAATCGAGTTATATTGAGTTAATCAACCAGTGATTCGTGATTCTTTTGTATGAATCGCTTGAGAGTATGATTCTTTCAGAGGAATTGATTCTTGATTAACCTGCCCATCTTGATTTGAAGTTGTTCTTAAAACATTAGTGATCGTGAACGAAGCTGGTGCTGAAATAAGAAAAAATTGTGTAATTTAAAAACTTTCTCGAGGTTTCGGTTCCTTTATCTCTTGTTAAACGTACTGACTGGGAACGTCGAGGTCTCCTCTCAGCGAAACATTACCTCAACAAAATAACGAGCCGCTGCCTTCTTCTGGATTTATAAAAAATAAATGCCAACTTACCCCAAATTTTAAACAGCCTCGGTCTATCTTATTGAGCATTACTGTGAATATAATTCTTAATTTCATTTTATGTGGATTTTTTTTATTTTAATAATTGTTTTATATTCAGTCCTGGGACGCATTCTTCCGTGCCAGCGCTGAAGGAGCACCTCCCGGTGCAGCGTATGCCAGACCTCCCTCCCTTGCCACGCCAGAACGTAACACAGTGCCGATCACAGCTCTTGGTCCATACCTCGGTGGTGGCGGTATTGCAAATGCTCAGATTTCAGAAAAAGTTATTGACGATCATCTTGCTGTACAAGCTATCATTAGGAGCTATCAGGTGAGATTATATTTTATTAAAATTTATAATATATTCTGCTCGATAATTAAATATCACTAAGGTTTTTTTTTTATTTTATTTTTTTGTTGGAGTGGAAGAAAACAAAAATTGTTTTTCAGACTAGTTTATTATTCAGAAAGTACTAAATTAATATTTTAAAGTGATATGTTAAATTGAAATTAATTAAAAAAAAAATTAATTTCATATATAAACACATTATTCATTACAATTTTGGCTCAATATCTGAATTTTCGATGTTTGTTACTTTATTTGTTATGAAGTATTTTTTACTGTTGTTCTTCTTGTTATTTTTTAAAATATATTCTATTTTTGTTGTTTAATGCTTAATTTGGATAGCTTCCATTTATTTATTTATTTATCGAAATCATCTAAAGTATATCATCCAGTTATTAGTTGTTCTATATTGACTTTTTAATCGGTTGTATTGTAGATTGTATAAAAGTTGATATCATTTGATTTTTATTTAAATATTAGTTCAGTAATTTAATTTTTTTTTTAATATTATGAAATTTTATCTTTATACATCCTTTTATCTATTTAATATGGTTAATATTAGCAAGTGTATGGAAGTTTTGTTTGTTTAGAAATTTGTGTATACATTGTTTGAAAATATGTGTATACATTCAGATTTTTATTAAAAAACTATTACGCCTTCTGCATGTCAAGTATCTTTTTTTGTATGTGTGTAATGATAGATTGCATGAAATTTGACTTTCTATTTTTAAATTTCTTCATTTCGGATTAGGGTAAATTGACAACTTAGACCTTTTAAAAACTTTATTTTCATTGTAAGTTTAACAAAAATATGTAGAGTTAAAGTATATTAACCACGTTTGGTATTTATTATGCCTTATGTATAATCTATTAGATTAATTTAATCTTCCCGTTTATTAAAAGATAATTTTTAAAATACTTGTATAAGTCTGTTGGTGGGCATATAAAGTGATTAAAAATTTCATTCAATCCTCAGTTAATAAAACAACTGGATAAGTTTGATAAAAAAACACTTCTTAATCTAGTAAAATTATATAATAATTATTAAATCGTATATTCATAAATATTTAAGTCATCAAAAATTAATTTAGACTTGTAATAATATAGTAAATCATTCAGGTGTAAGCAGATTTATTCCACTTATTTGAAAATACTGATTTCTAATCTCAGAGTTTGAATTGTTAAAAAAAAAAATTGACTTATATTTGAGAAAATGGAGTGAAGAAGAAAATTATAAACTTCCCCAGATCGTATGAATTTAATTTTAATCTAAATATTCTGTGACTCTTGTTGTATTTTAAATTGGACAGAAACTACTACAGATTTTCCTATGAGGGAGGGGGAAGTTTATAATTTTCTTCTTCACTCCATTTTCTCAAATATAAGTCAATTTTTTTTTTTAACAATATCATAGGTAGTATTAGTAATGATAGGTAGATATTCTCTGAATCAATATTCTCATCTGATAACATCAGCTCATTTTGTTAAATAAATTAAGGTTAAAATAATTTTTAAAATATAAAAAAAATATTTTTTTCATAATCTAAAAATAAAATTTCTCTTGAAATTTTCCCATCGCACCTGTTAAATTATTTTTTTACTAAAATGGAAAAAAAATCATCTATATTGGAAATGTATTACCAAAGATATGGCACATTGAACTGTGTACATCAAAGCATTCTGCGTTACCGTCCTCTAGAGACTTTTTTAATTTATGTTTATTTTTTCAATGAAAAAACTTTGAAGGTTGGCCTAGAAAAGAAAAAAAAAATCTAAATCTGATAACTGATCTTTGCTTGTCAAAGCCCCCTAATCCACAGGAACATCTTTTAGTTCAGGTTTATTTTTTCAATAATAAACTTTGGCAATCGTCCAAGAAAAGGAAATAATATATATATGTATGTAAATTTGATTAATTTTAAATTATCTTAAATATCTTCTAAATCGGACCATTTTTCTTAAAGATTAAAGATATAGTGGCATTTTGAAATTTTTATATCAAATCATTATGTGCTCGATCCTCTAGAAACTCTTTTAGATTAGATATTTTTTTTCAATGATAAATTTGGTGATTGACCCCAAGAAAAGAAAAAAAAAATAACATCCCTTCCCGCCACACCATTTGAGTTTTCACATTACAAGGTATTTCTGATCTATAAATTTGGATTTAAAAAAATGACACCAAAAATCAGTGGATGTCATCACCGCAATTCGATTTTGTCAGAGGCCATATTTTTTCAATATGGCGGCCGGTCGGAGGTTTCATAAGCTCATAGCATGGTTCTTTATGAATATGAAGGAAAACATTGCGTTTTTAAATCATTGTACCAAAGCTTTAAAATGAATTTATAGGATATTTGTATTAATATACGTTCACTGTTCATTGTTATAGCTTATCTGTTTTTTATTAATTTTTTTTTCATTATAATATGAATTATGTACGTAATCAGTAGGATATATTTTCATTATAAGAAATAGGAAATCTTAATTAATGCATTAATTTACCAAGGTAAAATGTTTTGATCGCTGTTAAAATAAATAATTAACAAAAAAAAAACCATGTGCTGGAAAGAACAGTGTTGCCAACCTAAAGTCGATAGTAGACTGGTTATCAGCTGTTCGTCTTGTTGTCTCTTGTTATTTTGATAATGTCGATTTAATTTTTTTATCAATTTTGTTTTATCTGTAAAAAAACAATTATATATATCCTCTCGTAAAAAGAATTGCTAACTATCTCACGTAACAAATATATATATATATATATATATATATATATATATATATTATATATATATATATATATATATATATATATATATATATATATATATATACATATTTATTTATTAGCTGTACCCGGTCAGGCATTGCTGTGCTCATTCTGGTTGAATAGAAAAAGAAATAAAAATCAATGCAGTTGTTTCTAATATATTTTATTTCACATACAAATATTACATACAATATTTTTTTTGTTCCATTCTTTGTGTAGATAGATATAGAGATTGTTTGGTTTTCCTCATATAGAAAACATAACATATAATTCTCCATGTGAGAAGCAATTCGTCTCGAAATTTTCGAAGAATAAGTACCAAATGTTGAAAGCATTACATCTATGCAAAAAACCGCCCGATTTTAGTGATTTTTTTTTAATTTTGCTACAGTCTATAGCGACATAAGTTTTTCGGCCTTAAGGGTAATTAAATGTATATAAAAACACTGCTGAATCCGATAGAAACGTTTTGTCAATATTTCAAAGCAATCGATGAAGAAGTTTCGGAGAATAGCGGTTTTGAACAAACGCACAAGGTGGTGGGTTGCCATGGAAACCAATTAACCCTTTCTTAGAATCTTTTTCACTGTGACCGCTGGAAAGCTGAGTTATTGCTCTTAAAGACCATATAAAAAGCTTTAACGCCCTCGTAACGAATAAATAAAGAAAAATTCCAAACACGTCTTCATTTTTTATTTCCAAACCTAATTTATTTATGGACCTCTGGTTTGTGCCATTTCGTGTATATTATAGTGCCTTAAATGCATGCTAATTTTCGTGTAGATAAGTAGAGCCATGTCGAAGTCACAACTTTTGTTATTTTCAGAAAAAAAAAATCCAAGGCCTTCTCTCCCTTGAAAATTTGAAGTAAAAAATTTTTATTTTTCGATTGCAATGAAAATTCGCATATGATGGTTTGTCGAGATGCGAAATAAGAATCTCAACGTAGTTTCTCCTTAAAATAATATTTGAACCCATTTTACTCCTTTGGCCGGTGCAAATTGTTTCATTGCTGAGATAATTCTTTTCGATTTCGATGTTTGTTTTTTTAAAACTATTTTGCAGAGAATTGAGGAAGCTTTCAAATAATCATAAGTATAATCAAACAAAAATTGTGTATTTTTTAAGTTGTTAGCAAATATACTTTTGAATTCTTCATACCTTTTTTTTTCATACTCTTTTCGGGGAGTAATTTGATATACATAAATTAAAAGGGCTTCAAGGAGACTTTAGCCAAGTTTAATTAAAATCGTCGACCGACATACGTTTTTTGGCCGCCTCTCAGAAACGAAAGATCGGAGGGTAAATAAATGCATATAAAAATACTTCTAAATCGGTTAGAAACGTCATGTCAATATTTTAAAGCAATCGGTGATTAGTGGTTTTCGAACAAACGAACATTTACTTTTTTATTTATACAGATGATAATCACGTACATTATTTTAACATTTCGTGATGTCAAGAATGTGATCCCGTTGAACTTTCTCATTATTATTGGGCCAGTTTTATTTTTAAATACAGTGATAGCTTTCTGAAGTACGGTTTATTATTCGATGGCGGGTAAATAGGTGAAATATTTACTGTTAATATTTTCAATGAAGGAAAGATTTCTTACAGCATAATTCGTTTTAAGTTTTAACCTTCAGCTAGGTCGGCCTAAATCCTTGAATTGTCTATGAAGTTGTTTTTATCAGCTGTCTTCGCTTTTTTTTTTTTTTTTTTTTTGTATGCGAGGCCATTTCAGTCCCGAGACATATTAACTTTTCGGACAATTTTCTTAAATATTTTTAATGTTACATGAAAATATTACGAGTTTTTTGAAAAGCTATGTGAAGCAGCTAATGCGTAGTTTATTTTAATTATAATTAAAGGTTTAACAAACCCGAAACCTCTAAAAAGTTTCTGTATTTTATATTATGTATATAATTAGAAAGATTATATACCCTCTATGATATTACGTACCCATGATAATTATAAAGATTACTAAATTACTTACAAAACAAAAGTCATGGAAATCGATTTGTAACGACCGAAGGAGAAAATTTATTCAAGGGTTTTTCAAGCAGAAACAGAGTTGAGATTTGTATTTCACAGCTTAAAAGACCCTCAAATACGAATTTTCATTGTAATAAAAAAAAAAAAAAAAAATATATATATATATATATATATATATATATATATATATAATTACAAATTGCTATCAAGGCACCCCCTC